AAATTGATACTGATAAAATCTACTAACCTTGTTCAAATTCTACCAATTTTACAAATGTTCACATTTGTATGTATGTGTACATTGATTTAGTTCTGTTCAAGTTAATCACTTGTGTAGATTCCTGTGACTGCCACCCTTTTAAATCCCGGGCTACTTTTTTTCCATCTACCCTCTAACCACTGGCCACCTTGATCTGTTCTCCATCTCTATACTGCTTTTATTTCAAGAATGTTGTGTAAGTGGAATCACAGAATAGAACCTTATGAAACTGACCTTTTTAATTCAGCATAATTCCTTTCAGATCTATCCACATTGTTATGCTTATCAACAGTTCATTACTTCTTATTGCTCAGTAGTGTATGTGGTACATGGATGCAACAGATGTTTGGGTTGGTTTTTTGTTTTTTTGGGTTTTTTTTAGCAGTTTACTCATTGAAGGATGTTTAGATTGTTTCCAATGTTTGGCTGTTATGAATAAAGCTGCTGTAAACATTGGCGTCCGGGCTTATCTGTAACATTCATTCCACTGTCTTATTCGTAACATTTTATTTACTCAAATCACACGCCATAGAATTGAGGGTAAAATGTATCATCTGTCATATCTGTTGGACATTTTCTAGAGGTGAAATTTGAGATACAGGGCAAAAGTGTAACGCCTAAAAAGTTCTCTAGGACCTTTATTTTTCCATAATATACGGAGTTCTTGGCATTAAATCATTGTCACTGAGGGCAACAGGCAGTGGCTTCTCCATCAGTGTATATGGTCGGGAAATATATAGATTAAAAAAAAAAAAACTTTCATCTGAATTGTATTATCCAAAAGATTACACTGATTTAAGCAAATAATGAAAAGCTCTGTTTAGAGAAGTGATAAATATGTTTCTACACAAAGTATGGAAAGCTTTTCTAAATGTATAACTTTCTAGAATCCATGTGCTACCAAAGACAAAAAAAAAAGAATCTTTGATTTTTTGGAACTCATGCAGTTAATAACTACTTATTGGCAACTAATTCTGCCACCAAATAAAATAAATTCTTGAGTAGATATGGAACTTTTAAATTTTCTAGGCAGTTTATTTTAAAAAGGTAAATAAAATACCTACAGTTGTAGAGACTGTAGAATAATAAAAGCACTGATTTAGGAATCAAAAAGTAAATACTGATGGTTTTTGTCCCTCTTTTATGTTAACCACATTGTAGAAAATAGGGAGCATAGAGAAAATGGAGGAGAAAGAGGTAATCAACTAGAAAAATCCAATTCTTAGACTTTAATATGTTCTTGTTAGTTTCCCTTTTTTTTGTGGCAGTCTTACTATGTTGCCCTGGGTAGAGTGCCATGGCTTCATAACTCACAGCAACTTCAAACTTCTGGGCTTAAGTTATTCTCTTGTTTCAGTCTCCCAAGTAGCCTGAACTACAGGTGTTTGCCACAATACCCAGCTGGTATTTTTCTTATAAATGAGGGTCTCACTCCTGCTTTGGGTAGTCTTGAACTGGTGAGCTCAAACAGTCCTTCTGCCTTGGCCTCCTAGAGTGCTAGGATTGCAGGTGTCAACCACTGCACCCAGCCTGTATGTGTTTTGAAATAGTTTTTTCCCCCTCATTTTTAGTTTTTTTAATTGAAATCTTTTAATCATTTTTTATATATAACAAGTTACTAAAATAGTTTTAATCAAAGATTGTATAGGCTTGTATTACACGTTTATATTTCACACCATTTCTTGCTGCTAGTCTTAATTTTTTTATCAAATGATTTTAATATCACTATATCATTCTCTCTAGTGATTATAGAATATTATCCTTAATAGGGCCAGGCATGGTGGCTCATGCCTATAGTCTCAACACCTTGGGAAGCCAAGGTGGAAGGATCATTTGAGGCTAGGAGTTTGAGATCAGCCTGGGCAACATAGCAAGACCCCCATCTCCATAAAAAAAATTTAAAAAGTAGCTGATGTGGTGGCATTCACCTGCCCTAGCTACTTGGGAGGCTGAGATGGGAGAAACCTTTGAACCCAGAAGTTTAAGGTTACTGTGAACTATGATCCAGCTATTGTGCTCCAGCTTGGGTGGCAGTATGAGACCCTGCCTCAAAAAAAATTTTTACTTGAACATATCTCTATTTTATAGAGTATTTTACACTGCTATAAATTGTTACTTATTTTTTATGACTGTGAGTTTCTTTATAGGTTGTTATCTAAGAAGTGAGATACTCATGAAAAAGACTTCCCATATTGCTAAGTTGCTTTCCAAAAGAATCATACCAATGTACAATGTCTTCAGCAAAGTATGGGAGTATAGTTTCACGATGCTTTTATCAATATTGAGTATTAAATTTTTATAATTTTGCTAAGCAATTGTATTGGTTTGCATTTATATTTAGTTGCTAGTGATGTTATATGTATTATCACATTTGTTTGACTATTTTTATTCTTTGGTTGGTGACTATTCATATAAATTAGAAACATCAACCTATTTTGTCTATATCCTTCCTTGCAGTTTCACTGTATCAGTCTGCTTTTTTTTCAGTAACTACCTCACTCCCACAGCCAATAGTCTTCTCTTACGTTTTGTGTCAGACTTAACTAAAATGAAAAATACATGTAACAAATATCTTGAGATAAAAACATCAGTGTCCTTTGTTAAGTACTTATTCCTGAGCAATTTTGTGCCTAATCCTGGACTTCCTGCCACAATCTAGTATAATCCAAGAAGATTTGAGCTTATGTAAACACCATTGCTGTGGGCAAATACATAGGCTGTGTTAGAACATAGACCTTCATTTATAGTGAACTTCTAATTATATGCTTGTCCCTGCTATTAGAAAGGAAATAATTCACTTAAAATGGGGAAAATTTCATTCCACTTGGCTGTTATGTGATAGACTATGGTACAAACAAGAGGAAAAATACAAACTAGTGGGACCTCATTCATTATTCGAAGATCAGACTAAAGTGACTTAACATTTGCTTCATAGAAGGAGGTAGATAATTGCTTTAGAAATAGTAAAATGGGCTTGGCACCCATAGCTCAGTGAGTAAGGCACTGGCCACATACACCGAGGCTGGCAGGTTTGAGCCCGGCCCAGGCCTGCTAAACAACAATGACAACTGCAACCGAAAATAGTTGGGCATTGTGGTGGGCACCTGTAGTCTCAGCTACTTGAGAGGCTGAGGCAAGAGAATCACTTAAGCCAGTGGTTTTCAACCTTCCTAATGCCACAGTGTATTTTCATTGTTACAAAGGGCTCTTGATCCACAGGTTGAGAACCATGTGCTTAAGCCCAAGAGTTTGAGGTGGTTGTGAGTTGTGACACCACGACACTCTACCAAGGGCAACATATAGTGGGACTCTGTCTTGAAAAAGTAAAATGAATAAAGACAATACTGGGTTTTTTTTTTCTTTCTGCTTTTCAGGTTTACAAGTGAAAGTAACCAAACTGAAAAAGGAACGAATTTTGTAAGTATCACTGTGTAATACTGATGTCTCAGTTATAATGTAGTAGATACTGATGTCGAAATTAGCTTTGCTTAGTATGGGCCTTGAATAGTTGACAGTAGTTTTTTTTTCCATTTTCTAAAGTAGAAAAATTAACTTTACAATTTTAAGTATAGCTTTAATATTTGCATGTGTATTTAAATTTTAATATAACATATATAACCTATTATTATTATTTATTAAAGCAACAACTGACCTATAAGCTTATTTTGATCTGTCAGTGGCATTCTTTTCTTTAGTGATAATTAACACCTGAATTCAAAATACTGCAAGAGGGAGAACACAATAATTCTGGGATTTCTAAACTCATATAAGAAATGGAAACTAGGCTCGGCGCCTGTGGCTCAAGTGGCTAAGGCACCAGCCACATACACCTAAGGTGGCAGGTTCGAATCCAGCCCGGGCCCACCAAAACAACGACGGCTGCAACCAAAAAATAGCCAGGCGTCTTGGTGGGCGCCTGTGGTCCCAGCTACTTGGAAGGCTGAGGCAAGAGACTCGCTTGAGCCCAGGAGTTGGAGGTTGCTGTGAGCTGTGATGCCGTTGCACTCTACCCTGGGGGATAGCTTGAGGCTCTGTCTCAAAAAAAAAAAAAGAAATGGAAACTAAATAGGTATTATAAGACTTCTTTTAAATAATTCTGAATGACCAGAATATTCTGCTGAATTGTTTTGGTTGTTTTTTTTTTGAGACAGAGCCTCAAGCTGTCCCCCTGGGTAGAGTGCTGTGGCATTACAGCTCACAGCAACCTCCAACTCCTGGGCTCAAGCGAGTCTCCTGCCAGGGCCTCCCAAGTAGCTGGGACCACAGGCACCCGCCACAACGCCCGGCTATTTTTTGGTTGCAGCCGTCATTGTTGTTTGGCGGGTCCGGGCTGGGGATTCGAACCCGCCACCTTAGGTGTATGTGGCTGGCGCCTTAGCCGGTTGAGCTATAGGCGCCGAGCCTTGTTTTGGTTGTTAAGCCTGAATTAGATCTGATTTTCTAAGTTCAGGAGCAGATTTTATTCCTGATTGTTTAGAGCTTTTACATTCAAGAATCTAAAACAAATTGTGCTCATAACAAGAATCAGTATCATAAGATTAATAATATTACATTGGCTTTACTGTATATACCTATGAGCCTCAGTTGTTTTATGTTCCTAAAACTTCCAAGGCATCTGAAAGCTAGAGTTACTAAGCATTCATCAGAACATACCCAGTTGTTTTCCCCATTACACTCTGAAAATGCAAATTGGGAAATTTTTCCTTACAGCTGGGAAGTCATGTTTGGAAGTAAATTTTGATTCAGAAATATAAAATTTTTTTTTAACAGTTCTGTTTAAAATAATTTTTTGAGTGTTAATCATTAATACTTACAAATACTTTATTTTGTTGAAAGTATACGTGGTCCTACCTTAAAAGATATTAATCATACATATGTTTCTTTTTCTTTTTCTTTTTCTTTTTTTTTTTTTGAGACAGAGTCTCAAGCTGTCGCCCTGGATAGAATACCATGGCATCATAGCTCATAGCAACCTGCAATTGGGGCTCAAGCGATCCTCTTGCCTCATTTTTTCTTTTTATTATTTTTATTTTTTTAAGTAGAGACGGGGGTCTCTCTTTTGCTCAGGCTGGTCTCGAACTTGTGAGCTCAACCAGTCCACCTTCCTTGGCCTCCCAGAGTGCTAGGATTATAGGCAAGAGCCACTACACCTGGCCAGATATGTTTCTGTAGTAGAACTATGTTTAGTCCCCTAATTGATAGCTGTTCAATTTCTTTTTACTTCCAGAGGAAATTAAGCCTTTTCTGAGTAGTAAATTTAGGGTGTTACCTTATAGGGGAGGAAAGTTTCTTACTGTGAAAAACAAAAACAAACAGAAATGACTTTTATAGTGAGAAAAGTGTATTTTTTCACATAGAAGGCCCAAAGAAGGGACATTCTAGTGGTTAGTGACTCAGAATTATCAAAGACATAGACTCTGTATTGTCTGTCTTCTCTGCCATTCTTAGCGTTATGGCTTGCCCTCTTAGTCTTGACTCACTGTGAAATGGCACGATGGCCATCGTCATCCTCGTCATCTTGCAGAACACTTGCAGAACATCCAAGGAGCTCTTTTTACTAATGATAAGTTTCCCCAAAGTTGCCCCCAGAAGACTTCCTCTGAGTCGACCATAATTGTGTGGTCATTCCTAAATAATAACTTGGAAAGGGAATTGAATTTACATGATTGGCTCAGGCTAATAAAGATTTTGATACCATTTTATGTGTATTTTAGGTTTGAGCAACTTAATAAATGTATTGCCAATAATGAGAGGAAAGAAAAAGTATAAAAATGAGTCACAAAAGGGGAAAGATAGAATTATTCCTATGCTATTGGTAGCAATTGGAGTTACCAGTATATACTCATGGTTTTTATTTATTTTTTAATATTTTTTTATTGTTTGGGATTCATTGACGGTATAGAAAATTAGGTTACACTGTGCATTTGTTAGGTAAAGAAAGTCCCTCTTATAACTGTGTCCCACCCCCAGTCGTGGTTTTTAAATATAAAATAGATATGTGTTAATGTATGTGAGGATGTATATATATTTCCTAGGTGCGGTCCATTGAGAGGGCCCCAAAGCAATAACACCTCAGTAATAATAACGAACACACCTTAAGCTCAGATGTTGACTTTCCAGTAAGTAGAGTTAAGGCACTTTGGAGAAATGGCTAATTCCAGGGCTTGGAGCACACAAAGTACAGGGTGAACTGGAGTATTATATAGTGTTGTTACCGGCTTCCAAGTGGAGCTTCTTCCAAGATCTTGGTGTTCTAGCAGAAAATTTCAGGGCAGACTACATAAGCAAAGCAAGTGAAAGCTTTTAATTAAAAGTGAAAGTACACTCAGTGAAGATAGTGGGCAAGCTTCAAAGAACAGCTGCCCTGGGAATAAGTGTTTTTAGGTCTTTTATAGTTTTAATAATAGAGGGGAAGAATATTCAAGACCAAAGATTGGCTTTTCTAAGAATGTGGGTAGAAATTTCTAGAATTGAGTTCCCTCCCATTTTCATATTTTATATGGTTGTCTTGGAACTGTCATGGTGGTTTTAAAGGTGGGGAAATTTTAAAACACAATGTAAATTATATTATAATTAGTCACATTTCATGTAAAATGACAGAGAATAGCTGATAAGCCAATTGAAGCCAGTTGTTATCAGCCCCTCTAGTTAGTGTCTGCTGAAGAGTTATTTAATACCTGAACCTAATCTTTAAGCTCCTGCATCTTGTCCTTGCCCTGTCTCCTAGTATTCTATTTTCAAATTCAAGACCACACGGAAAATCCCAATTATATTTCTAATAGATTTTCTTAGAATTAAAATATATACATACTTTATTTTTAATAATGTGATTTTTATTTTTTGAGACAAAGTCTCACTCTGTGCCCTGGGTATGGTGCCATGGCATCATAGCTCACAGCAATCTCAAGCTCCTGGGCTCAAAAAATACTCTTGCCTCAACGTCCTGAGTAGCCGAGACTACAGGCACCTGCCACAATGCCCAGCTAGTTTTGTTTTTTGTTTTTCTTCTTTTTAGTAGAGATGAAGTCTTCCTCTCTTGTTCAGGCTGGTCTTGAACTCCTAAGGTTATCCACCTGCCTAATAATGTCATTTTGTTTTGTTTGTTTGTTTAGCAGGCCCTGGCTGGGTTTGAACCTGCCAGCCCCAGCACATGGGGCTGGCGCTCTAACCATTGAGCTGGTAATAATGTGATTTTTAAAAACAATAATAGAGGGAAAAAATACGATACTACTTTGGAAGATAATTAGCTTCAACTAAAAGAAGGTTTTGTGTGTCTTTACCAGTTTTTTTTTCTGACTATAAAATCATGATGGTAACAGTTAAATATTTATGTGCCAGGACTATTTTGTGTCCTATACATACACCAGGACTTAGTCCTCACAAACACTTTATCTGGTACATGCTATTGTATCCACGTTTTTTTGAGGCACAGAGAGTTTAGGTTAATTATACCACATCACACAGCTGATAAGTGATAGAGCTGGGATATATACCCATCTAGGATTTAGGCTAGGATTCATGTTCTTCCACTCCACTATAAGCCTTGCCTCTTAAAAGTATGACCTGGTAAAAAGTTTGAGGAACACAAGTTAATAAAATAGAGAGTATAAATTCTCTGTAATTGGAATAGAGATGATGTGAATAGAGATAATTTGTTATTTACATTAACATGTATGAAATAATATTAAAACTATACATTTTGATAGCGTTTTTCATGAAGTTGAGTCAATGGCAACCTCAGAATCCAGTTCCTCCTTTGTGACCAGTGTTGTATAATGGATGCCTGGTATTTAGGATAATACTTCTATAATACATAAAAATACTGCAAAGAGCAAATTCTGGTATAATATAAACCTTGATTAACAAGATATTCAGACTTCACCTTTTAAGTTGTTTTGTATTATACAAGAAATTTATGATATAGAAGTGATAAGACTGTACTTTGGAGTTCTTAGAATTATCCTGTTATAGTACTTTTCCCTGAAGAACTTTATTTCTTGACTTTTAGAGATGCACAAAGACTAGAAGAATTCTTCACCAAAAATCAACACCTGAGAGAGCAACAGAAAGTTCTTCATGAAACCATTAAAGTTTTAGAAGATCGGTGAGTCTGGCACTTGGGTTTTAAGTAAAAGGTAATTTACTAGGAGTGTACTGGTTTTAATTTGTAAACAGTTTTGGCATTGAAAATGATCTTTTCTCCAGCCTTCTGTCACTTCTGAAAGAGTATTTTATGAAACTAAGGGTTTTTTTCTTACTGAGTTGAGTTCCTTGAAGATTATGTATATTAGCCCTTTGTTGGATGTATAGTATATAAATATTTACTCCATTCTGTATCTGTTTACTCTATTGAATATTTCTTTTGCTGTGCAGAAGCTTTTTAATTTCATTAAATTTTATATGTCTATTTTTGTTTTTGTTACATTTACTTTTGCAATCTTAGTTATAAATTTTTTGCCTAAGCCAGTATTCTTAAGAGTTTAGGTTTTCTTCATTTAAGTCTTTAATTCATCCTGAGTTAATTTTTGTGTATTGGTCCAGTTTCATTCTCCTGCATATGGTTGTCTGATTTTCCCAACATCATTTATTGACTAGGGTGTCCTTTCCCCGGTGTATGTATCTGTTCACTTTGTTGAAGATAAGTTGATTGTAGGTACGTGTCTTGTTTCTGGCTTCTCTATTCTGTTCAATGATCTATGTGTCTATATTTATAAGTACCATACTGTAGACCAAGGGTCCTCAAACTTTTTAAACGGGGCCAGTTTACTGTCCCTCAGACCATTGGAGGGCTGGGCTGCAGGCCCCAGGACAAGTCAGCTGCTAAGCAGGACAGGCAACGGTGACAAAAACACCCAGCAGGCCAGGTAAATGTCCTCAGCGGGCCACATGTGGCCCGCGGGCTGTAGTTTGAGGATGCCTGCAGACTTACAGTATAATTTGAATGTAGGTAACATGATGCCTCTAGCTTTGTTCTTGTTTGGTTCATCTTTCTGAGAACGATGTGCCGCAGCTTTAGTCAGTCATCTTGGGACAGAATCCCACATTTGTTTTCTAGAGAATACTTTTGTTATCATTTTCTGTGTATCTTGCAGAAGGGCTAAGTAGTTTGAATTTGCCTCTCTCCCTTTAGTGGTAAAATAATTTAACATTCTGCACATATGCAAATCAAAATCGAATATCTTCATCTGTGATTAATGACTCAACAAATGCACATTTACTAGATTAGGGATTGTATTGTGGTATAAAGACCCATGTGCTTTGGAATCACATATGTATCTGAATTCCAACTTCACACTGTGTTCTTAATTCAGATTTACCAACAAATATTTGAGTGCTTACTATCGTAGGTATTTTTATTAGGGGTGAGGAATAATACTATCCCTGGTATGTAATGTTTTTGTTTTCCTTTATTTATTTTTTGAGACAGAGTCTCATTATTTTGCCCTCGGTAGACTGCCATGGCATCACAGCTTAGAGCAACCTCAAACTCTTGGGCTTAAGTGATTCTCTTGCCTCCGCCTCCCAAGTAGCTGGAACTACAGGCACCTGCCACAAAACCCAACTATTTTTTTGTTGTAGTTGGCATTGTTGTTTGGCAGGCCCAGGCTAGATTTGAACCCTCCAGCCCTGGTGTATGTGGCTGGCCCCTACCCTCTGAGCTACAGGACCCAAGCCTCTAGCATGTAATGTTTTAAGTGAGATAATGCAAGCAATAGTACATAACAGAAATTTATTAAGACTTATAAATGTATCTCTTAGTTGCTATGTATAATTCCAACTTTCAGCATAGCAGTCTGAATTTATATTGGATTTTCAAAGGTTGGGATTGTGTCATGTAGCAAACAAATAAGATGGTTTCAGATTATAAGTCTATAAAGAAAATAAAGTTGAATGACCACAGGCATTGGGAAATAGAGCATCTGAATAGGAAAAAAAACCTCAGGTTCTCCCTCTCTACTTTCACAACATATTTCTAATACCAGATGTATGGGGGTTTTCCCCCACTAGCAAGTAAACATTCATTTTGGTGGACTAGTGTCCATTAGCTGGGTTTCCTCTAATTTAATTTTGTCACTGTCTACCTAGAGATGGGATTAGATCTTTCTTGATAGCTCAGTTCCTAAGACTGTACCCTTTCCCCACTTCAGTGCCAGTCGTAAGCTTCAGTTTGTTTTAGCTGTGTGTGCTTCTTACTGACCAGTTATAAATTGGGGTTCCCACAACCCCCTCCTCAGGTTTTGTTAATTTATTAGAATGGCTCAGAGAACTCAAGGAAACACTTATATTTACCACTTTATTACAAAGGATATTTAAAAGGCCAGGTGCAGAGGAAGGGAGCAAGATGGCAGCTGAGTAACAGCTTCTTTGCAACTAGGGGTGGTGAGATTAGGGAGAGAAGATTCCAGGCATCTCTGGCTTGTGAGCTTGCCCAGAAACATCCCTTTGGGGACACAGGGAGACAGTGAGAGACTTCTGCACCCCAGGAGGAGGGCAAAAGCAGTGGAGAACTGGCAGGTGGTTGTGTTCATTTGGTCTGAGGCCATGGCTGCCATAGCTGTAATACAATAGCAGCAAGATTGCAAATAGGGAAGGTTTTCCCTGTGGGCTGTTTTGTTTTTTTGGACTTGGGCCCTCAGTTGAACTACCTTGGGAGAACTTGGGTGAGAGCGTGGATGAGTTTAAGCATTGTCTATGGCCCCAGACTGAGCCCCTGAGCAGGAAGAGAGCTAATATTATTCAGCTATGGACCACATGGGCAGTCATTGTGGGAAAACTGCCCCTGCGGGCTCTGCTTCCATAAGATATTCTGTTTGTTTGTTTTGGTTTGATTTATAGTATTTTTGTCTTTCCTCTCTATTTGGTGGAGGTGGGGTACTTTGTCTGAATAAGCTGACAAAGAGCTGCTAACCTCAAGGGAACCACCCAACCCAGCACCCTCAAAAGTTGGGAGTTTTTAAGGTTGGGTCAAAGTACCCTACTGTACACCTTTATTACTCCTGTCACCTTCTTTCTGTGCCTCTTCTTTTTTCAGTATTCCCTTTTACTCACCCCTTCTCCTTTCTTTTTTTTTTTTTTTAATCTTTTTTCCCTTCTCTTCTCATCCTTCTGGTCCTGTACCAAAAGGACTCGTCAAAACCTTAGGCCAGAGGCACAGTAACTTAAAGAGCAAGAGCAAGTGAAAGGAAAATTAGGGCAAGGAAACAAATAAAACACTCCTGAGGAAGAATCAGCAGAAAAATCCCAGCAACATGAAAAACCAGTCCAGAGCAACCACCTCAAGGGACCATGAGGTAGCCACTTCAGAGGATTCCACCTATAAAAAAATGTTAGAAATGACAGAAGGGGAATTTAAAATACAGATGATGAAAACAATGAAAGAAATTGCTGAGAAAGCAGAAAATAACCAGAAGGAAGTCCAAAAATAGAATCAAATAAGAGATGAATAATATGAAGAATATAGAAAGGTTGGCAGTGCCTGTGGCTCAGTGGGGCTGGTAGGTTTGAACCTAGCCCCGGCCTGCTAAAAAGAAAAAAAGAATATAGAAAGGATAGCAGAGCTGAAGGAACTTAAAGATGCAATAAAAAGTATCAACAATAGATTAGACCATGCTGAAGAAAAAATCTCAGAGGTAGAGGACAAAGCTCTTGAGATAGCTCAGATAGTTAAAGAGGCAGAAAAGAAGAGAGAGAAAGCAGAATATTCACTCACAGAATTATGGGACTTTATGAAGCCTTCAAACATACATGTTATAGGTATCCTAGAAGGGGAAAAAGAATGCCCCCAGAGGAATGGAAGCCATACTAGAGACCATTATAAATGAAAATTTCCCAAATATCACTGAAGAATCTGACACACTCCTTTCACAGGGATATCGGACCCCATATCGCCTCAACTCAAAAAAGCTTCTCCAAGATACATTGTGATGAACCTGTCCAAAGTAAAACAAAAGAAAAGATTCTTCCAGCTACCATGAGTAAGCACCAGTTGACCTACAGGGGCATATCCATTAGGGTGACCTCAGACTTCTCTAATGAAACTTTTCAAGCCAGAAGACAATGGTCATCTAACTTTAATCTGCTTAAACAGAACAATTTCCAGCCCAGAATTCCATATCCTGCTAAGCTTTAAAACTGATGGAGAAATCAAATCTTTTACTGATAAGCAAATATTGAGTAAATTTGCCACAACAAGATCAGCTCTACAAGAAATACTTCAAACTGTTCTATACACTGACCATCACAATGGGCCACCAGCAAAATAAGCACCCAGAAATTAAAGGACAGAACCTAGATTCCACAATGATGCAAAAGACAAAACTAAACCATGAACTTTCACAAAGTAAGATGAATAGAATGCTATTATTATGCCCAGGAGTTTCCCAGAGACCACACAACAATGTGAACTGAATTTGCAGGAGTCTCTATTCAAGAGCTGGCCAGGTACTGCCTTGGTGTCCCAACAAGGGGTTTTCGAGAGCAGCCCCGCCTAGTGCTTAAGGGGTCAGGTTTTTAAGGCTTGGTCTGCATCCTGGTTGGCACACAGGTGTATCCGGGTAGGGTAGCAAGCAAGCATTGTACATTTGCAGTCAGTTAATCATAAATCTTTGTTTTAATATTTTTCCCTCTATACATCTTAGTTTCAGTACTTTCCCTACCTGGTATTGTTTAAAGGTCAGTCAGGGACAGTTGGTGCCTCCAAGTTTGTTTCCCAGGGAGTTAACCAAGCCAGAAACTGGGAGTGAACTAGAAGTAAGAAATCATTTAGTACTTTTTCATCTATCTTGGTAGTAAACTAGACTTAATTTTATCTTTTTTTTTGAAAGTTTACAGTCCAGAAATTTGCCAGGAGTTAACTGGCATTTTTCCATTATAGCCTGGGCCTGACACCTTTCTGCCTTAGGCTAGGCCCACTAGGCCTAACACTAACACTTATCAATTATCTCGATAAATATTAATGGCTTGAAAATTAATGAAACAAGGAGTTGGGTTTTTGAAAAAATAAATAAAATAGTTAAACCTTTGGCCAGACTAATTAGAAATAGAAAAGTAAAATCTCTAGAATCCTCAGTCAGAAATGAAAAAGGGGAAATACCACCTGAAACA